TAATCCCTTTTGTAAAGTAATTTGAGAAGAGGGAATTCAAAATGTAAAATCTCACCTGCAGAAAACACTCAATTCTGTAAAGGCCTTTCTATCTTTAGACACTTACAAAGACTTAATATTTTAATGCGGAAGGGCGAACTTGGTTAAAAAGCCAATGGGTGAAATTAGAGATAAATAATCCAGTGCTTTCTTTCTGGGAATTATCATCCTGCTCTCCAGGGGACCTAATTTTATTCCCTGTGGGGAATGAGAATACCTTTCTGTACAGCAAGCCAGCATCTCTAAATATAAGCTTGACTTCTAGTATAATAAGAGTCTTGTTAGGTACAATTTGCTCTTGGTCATTAATACAATGAACAAATGTTGTGGTTACCTGGGAAAGAAAATTCAAGTGCTTTTAAACCTCTTGTGAGATTCGGTTTCATGCTTGAAACCTATACAGTGTTATGCCCAATAGCATCTGTAGAAGATTCCAAGCTATAAGATATACAACATAGAGAAGTTAATACACTTTGGAAAAAATTTAGACCAGAAAAAAATATTTAGATTTAAGATTCTAAATAAAAAGCTTTTCTTTACCCGAATGACAATTACCAGTGGCATTAAGTTTAACAAATTACTGGAATCTTCTTATGAGTGAATTTTATATAATAACGATGTTCCTGTGTACAAAATAGGAAGCCAGTGTTTCCTTCTAGTGGCACTTAACTTTTCTTTTCAGCTGTAAGAGAGTTTTTAGTTCTACAACTAGAAAGATCGAATTAAAGGACAAAATATAACGTCAAGGTATATACAGTTGACTCTGGAACAGTGTTGGGGGTTGGGGTACCAATCTCCCACACAGTTAGAAATCCACCAATAACTTGACTTTCCCAGAACTTAAGTACTAATGGCCTACTGTTGACTGGAAGCCTTACCAGTAGCATAAACACTATTAACACATGTTTTGTATGTTATATTTATTATATGCTACATTCTTACAATAAAGTAAGCTAGAGAAAAGAAAATTATAAGAACATTAAACTACATTTGCAGTACTCATGATTGATATAATTAAGCTTGTCATCTGTTTCTAAGTAAATTCTCTGTCAGTACCTACATCAGTATTGTCATATATGATGTAAAACACTGTAGATAATTACATGTATTATACTAGTCATTTTCAAAAATGAAAAGATACTGTGAAAAAGAAATCCATATTTATTATAGGTATAAAGATTCATGCATTGATAACCAGCACATGTGATTGCTCTATAGTAGCCTAGTGTAACTGATACAATAGGAGGTAACTATGAAATTGTTACAGTAGCACAGTATATACTATAGTTAATTTTATGCAGTTGTGGCTTAATCCTTACACTTGTTTACATTTCTCTTGACAGCCAGTATTGCCATGTGTGGTCTATGTGTGTGTTTTAATTTTTTACAATAGATTTGTATATGTTTTATGGTAGTAAATGGCAAAATAGACTAGTATTTCTATATTTAATGCATTCATAATGTGCCTAACTCTTAATATGTTTGATATTTCTAGGCTACATGACTAATGAGTGAGGTCTTTATTTTTTTAAGTATATTTTGTACATTATGCTATTAAAATTGTCCCATTTTTTTTCTCCCCTTTATTCCCCTCTGTCTCGACCCCCATCCCACCAGCATCCCCCCTTCCCACCCCCTTAGTTCATGTCTGTGGGTCATACCTATATGTTCTTTGGCTTCTCCATTTCCTATACTCAAGAAAACATCTCCCTGTCTATTTTGTACCTACCATTTATGCCTCTTTTTCTTTGTGCCTTTACTCCAGTTCTTAACCCTCCATGCTGATAACCCTCCATGTGATCTCCATTTCTGTGATTCTGTTCCTGTTCTAGTTGTTTGCTTAGTTCCTTTTTGTTTTTGTTTTAGGTTCAGTTGTTGATAGTTGTGAGTTTGTTGTCATTTTACTGTTCCTAGTTTTGATCTTCTTTTTCTTAAATAATTCCCTTTAACATTTCATATAATAAGGGCTTGGTGATGATGAAATCCTGTGACTTGACCTTGTCTGGGAAGCACTTTATCTGCCTTTCCATTGTAAATGATAGTTTTGCTGGATAAAGCAATCTTGGATATAGGTCCTTGCCTTTCAGGACTTTGAATACTTCTTTACAGTTCCTTCTTGCCTGCAAGGTCTCTTTTGAGAAATCAGCTGACAGTCTTATGAGCACTCCTTTGTAGATAACTGTCTCCTTTTCTCTTGCTGCTTTAAGATTCTCTCCTTATCTTTAATCTTGGGTAATGTAATTATGATGTGCCTATGTGTGTGCTTCCTTGGGTCCAACTTCTTTGATACTCTGAGCTTCCTGGACTTCCTAGAAGTATATTTCATTTGCCAGATTGGGGAAGTTCATTATTTTTCCAAATAAGTTTTCAATTTCTTGCTCCTCCTCTTCTCTTTCTGGCACCCCTACGATTTGGATGTTGGGACATTTAAAGTTGTTCCAGAGGTTTTTGAATTCTTATTTCTTCATTCTGTTCTGGTTGAATGTTTATTTCTTCCTTCTCCAAATCATTGATTTGAGTCCTGGTTTCCTTCCCATCACTGTTGGTTCCCTGTATATTCTTTATTTCACTATGCATAACTTTCACTTTTTCCTCCATTTTGCAACCATACTCCGCCATTTCTGTGAGCATCTAAATTACCGGTGTTCTGAACTGTGCATCTGATAGGTTGGCTATCTCTTTGCACTTACTTCCATGTTTAGAGCTTTGATCTGTTCTTTCATTTGGGCCATATTTCTTGGCACGTGTGCTATCTTATAAGGGGAAGCATCTTAGATGTTGACTAAGGTGGGGCAACCTACATCACTTTGTTGTGTTGCTGTATGTGGGGGAAGGGTCCAAGAGGGAACAATGCTGCTTTCGCGGCTCTCGACTGGCTTCAGTCACTTCCCACAAGCAAAATGGGCCCTTCTGGTGCTGATTCCCAGGTGGATGGATTTGTATATGTTCTAGTACTCTGTGGGTCTGTCCATTGAACGCTCCTGTAAAGCTGGGAATTTCTCCAGCTGCCACAACTGCCACAGGTTTTTACAGCCAGAGGTTTTGAGGCCTTCTTTAACCACATTGGAACCCTGGGTTGCACAGTCTTGCTCCCCAGTTGTTCCTCCCAATTTATCTGCACGCATATGTGGGACAACCAGCTGCTGCCTTGCCATACAACTTTTCTGCCCCTCCTACCAGTCTGAATGAATGTTTCTTCTTTAACTCCTTGGTTGTTGGACTTCCATACGGTTTGATTTTCTGGCATTTCTGGTTGATTTTTGTTTTCAAATTTGTTGTTGTCCTTCTTTTGTTTTTTTTTGGGGGGGGTTGGCGGTTGTCCTCCTTTTGGTTGTACAAGGAGGTATAGTGTATCTACTTACACCTCTATCTTGGCCAGTAGTTTGGGTTTCTTTCAAATCATTGCAAATCTCAAAAAAAAAAGTTTCCAGTGTATTTATGGGGGAAGCCACACCTAAGTGGACTTGTGCAGCTCACACCTGTTGTTCAAAGGTCAGCTATAGTATTAAATAGCATTTTTAGTATGATACGGCATTATTTGTGTTAGGTAATTTCTGTCCCTTCCAAACTTTGTGATACTATATGTATTTTAAAATCTATTCTTATTTAATTAAAATTATTGGGGTGACAGTGGTTAATAAAATTATGTTTCAAGTATACAGTTCTATAATACATCATCTATATACTGTATTGTGTGTTTGCCATCCAAAGTAAGTCTCCCTCCATCATCTTGTTTTCTACCCCCTTTACCATTTACTGCCTCTCCCTAACCCCCTTTCCCTCTGGTAACCACCATACTGTTGTCTATATCTGTGAGTTTGGGGGGTTTCTTTCTGTTTGTCTTGTTTGTTCATTTGTTGTTTTCAGTTTTATGCCCTGATTTGTTTTGCTTAGCATGGTATCTCAGGTTCTGTGTTGTTGGAAATGATAGTATTTCATCTTTTCTTATGGCTGAGTACTATTCCACTGTATATAAGTACCACATCTTTATCCAATCATCTATCAAAAGAAACTTTGGTTGTTTCCATGTCTTAGCCATTGTGAATAATGCTGCAGTGAACATAGGGGTACATATGTTCTTATGAATAAATTTTCCAGGTAGTGACTCAGAAGAGGGGTTGTTGGGTATATGGTAACTCCATTAATTTTTGTGAGGAACTTTGATATTGTTTTTCACAGTAACTATGTCCATTTACATCCCCACAAGCAATGAATGGGGGTTCATAAAATCTATTTCATTAAAAGGTAATAGAAATATTTCTTGTTACTTTTAAAAGTTGACAGAAGTGATCTTTGCAATCTTGTAAAGAATAATCTCTGAATAAAAGTTTCCTTCCACTCTGATGTAACCTCAAAGTCCTGGGTATTGTGTTTCCCATTCTTAAATTTGCCCTCAGTCTATAAAGCTGTGGACCTATGAATCTGATGTAAAGTGCATGGCTCCTAATTTCCTACTTCCATTGAGTGATTTTTCTGGCATTTTTAAAGACCATTAAGAATATGCAATATAGTGGAAGAGATAATACCAAAATATTTTGTATTTTATTTCAAAGTAGTTAAGGTCTGTTTCTCCACTGAACATTATATATTAGGCTGCTATCTAAATTGGATCACAGTCAGCTGGCTTTATCTTCACCCCTGCTCAGTTGACATTTTTACAGGTCAGTGAAATAGAAAAAATGACCTTTGTTTATGTAACTAACCTCAGGCAGAACAACATCCAATAGCATATTTGCTAACGTTCATATTGAAAGTTTTACTCTAGTGTAAATAATGTTTTTTAATAGTTAGCTAAGTTTTATTTTGTTAAAGGTAAAAAAATGACACCTTAATAACTTTGATTTTCTATTTTAAGGTAACCAGGCTTGCCATATCATTAATTTAGCACACACATCTCACCCCTCTTTGTTTTGAACTCCCTGTAATATTCTTCAACTTAGGAGTGACATTTTTTGTTTCAGACAAATCTGCCTATTTTCAAGCTGAAGGAATCTACTGTTAGAAGGAGATACAGTGACTTTGAATGGCTACGAAGTGAATTAGAAAGAGAGAGCAAGGTAAGAATTATATGTAATGCAACTTTGAAGCAAAACATTCCAAATTTTAGTATATGATTTCTCCTTTTCAAAGAGTTCAGTTTTACCTTATTTCATGTGAGCTGGATGAAGTGTATAGATTTTATGTAGAATTATCTTCCTTCTTTTGTCTAGTGTCCTTTGCTGACCTTTGCTGAGGCCTTAATTGAGGCCTTTGCTGACTTACACTGGGATGACACTTCACTTTCTATTACTTCCTTTCCCTCATCTTCCTATTCCACCTTCCCCTCCACACCCCTAGCCAGGTTTCTTTCCTCAGTACATCTCATGGGTCAGTGCTTTCCAGTATTTTTTACTGACTCATAATAAATACACTTTTCATCATCATACATTTACATATAACAAAAGTTTATAAACTAGTACTTAGCTTACTCTGAGTGATACATGCTGATACTCTTCAGATTATTGTTTTTAAATGATGACCATGATCTACCTACAATTCAAACACAGTCATGTACCCCAGTAAGAATTGTCTTCTCTCATAAGCTTTGGCTGCAAAATAAGCTAGAGCATGGTCACACTCTAATATCCCTATTTCAGCTCTATGTCAGGACAACATCATAGGGCGTGGTGTGCCCAGAATGATGAAGTTATTTTATGACTAGAGTATAGTAGGAGTAGGAGCTTCTAAGTAGACTAAGGGGTAGCTTGTACTTATTTCTGAAGCTAATAAGATAGAAATGGAAGGAAAGTTTCTAACCAGATAAATGGGACTTGATACAAGAGCACATATGCCAATCATTGCATTCTGTTGAAATGTAAAAGAAAACCATTTTATTCATAAAATACTTAAGAATAAAACTAGAACTATTAGCCCTGGCTGGTGTAGCTCAGTGGATTGAGCACGGGCCTGCGAACCAGACAATTGCAGTTCGATTCCCGGTCAGGGCACATTCCTGGGTTGCAGGCCAGTTCCCTGCAGGCCAATTCCCAGCAGGGGACGCACGAAAGGCAACCATACATTGATGTTTCTCTCCCTCTCTCCTTCCCTTTTCCTCTAAAGATAAATAAATAAAATCTTTAAGAAAAAAAAAAGTTTAAAAAAAAAAAAAAAACTAGAACTATTAGACCCATGTAATGAAAACTTAAAACTTCACTGAAAGATAGAAAAAGACCTTAATAAATAGAAGTACTACATTCTTGCTTTGGAATATTCGCTTTTGAAGATGTATTTATTTTACAAACATTTGAGAGCTCAGACTGTATATTCTTTGAGTAACAGATAGAGCTGTGAACAAATTAATATCCCCAACTTTTATGGTGCTTACATTCTGTTGGGTGAGTTTGGGTGCTGGTAAAGGGAAAGCATTTGGTTTTGTGTTTCTTTTTTGCTGTTATTATCATTTTATTTATTTATTATCATTATTGCTAATCTGTATGAAGTTGTGTTGCTCTTTCCTTTTATACCTTGTCAAATAGGATAACTCCTAGTTATAGAAACTCTGCACCAAGAATTTGAAGTTTTACCTCTTAGAATAGGTATAATTTGTATTACTGGTGTTTACTATTTATATCTCTCCTTGTTTTAATTGTTTACTTCCATCTTTTCTCTGTTTTGGTGTAAAATAAGGTTTCAGTGAAGTGGTTTAACAGATATTTAGGCTTCTATAATATGCCCAGCTTATCTGTAGTCTAAAAAGGAGTCCTTGATTTGAAGGCATCAATAGGCTAGATTGGTGGTTCTCCACAGGGGCGGGTGGTTTTGTCAACCCCATTTACTGAACACAAATTCCTTTCTCCACTTGTCAGCAATTTTGTTTTTGTTAGAACTAAGTTTCCAATAAACACATTGAACAGTTTCTAAATTCTTTTTTTTTAAGATTGTATTTATTTTTACAGAGAGGGGAAGGGAGAGAGAAAGAGAGGGAGAGAACTATCAATATGTGGTTGCTTCTCACACGCCCCCCATCAGGGACCTGGTCTGCAAATGAGGCGTGTGCCGTGACTAGGAATTGAACTGCTGGTGACCCTTTGCTTCACAGTATGGTGCTCAATTCACTGAGCCATGCCAGCCAGGGCAGTTTCTAAATTCTATTGCATTCCACTAATCTATTTGCCCTTCAGAACAGCCTGAAGATATGTTCTAATGTCTTCAGGTACCTAATATATGTTGCAAATAATTTGGCTATTCTTGAGCTTTATTAAATTCTAAAGTTCATATATAAATCTTCAAGTTTATAAAGACCCTCATTAATATTTGTTAGAATTTTATTGATTTATAGATAAGTTAGGAGATAGTGCCTTCTATCAAGTCTACTGCTAAAATGCCACCTCTAAGTGAGGCTTTCCCTGGACCATCCTATATGAATGAGAATAGCTCTCTTTTAGTTTAAACTCCTAGTTTAATTTTTTTAAGAGGACATCACCATCTGAGATATTATATATTGATATATCTCACTATTTTATTGTCATAAATAGGAGTGCTACTTGTGGTATCTAGGGATAGAGCCCTGGGATGCTATTAAGCATTCTGGCTGCACAAGAAAGCCTCCCTCTACTACAGGAAATCATGTGGGAGTGCTATCATTGAGAAACACTAGGATAGAAACCAAACTCATCTGTAAAATAAATAGCTTGCTGCCGTTTAACAGTGTTCAAAAATAAATGTCTGAGCTCCAAATAATTCCCAGAAGATAGGAATCAGTATAAGTTGACCCTAGAGGATAGTCAGGCTTTGAAGGTGAAAATTTGGGGTATTCCTATAGTGTTGGAAGAAACAACAGGTTTGAGAAAAGATAGGATAGCCGATTTGGGAGAAAGATAACATGTTTCTAGGAAATGGAATAGTGGTGACAAGTAGTTGTTGATGATCTTGACATCACCTCACCACAAGTAGGGAAGTCTATATGCAGGTGGTATTAGATGGAAGAAATTGATAACAGAATTTGTATCCGACCATGTCTGAACATTGTTAATATTATATTTCTTTATTTTTAAGTATATTTTATTGATTATGCTATTACAGTTGTCCCATTTTTTTTTCCTAACACTAACCCTTTATTCCCCTCTGCCCTGCACCTCCCCTCCTACCAGCTTTCCCTTCCACCCCTTAGTTCATGTCCATGGGTTGTACATAAAACCCATGGACATGAGTTCTTTGGGTTCTCCATTTCCTAAACTCTTCTTAACCTCCCCCTGTCTATTTTATACCTACCATTTATGCTTCTTATTCCTTGTACATTTACCCCCATCCTCCCCCTTCCCCCTCCCCACTGATAACCCTCCACATGATCTCCATTTCTGTGATTCTGTTCTATTCTATTTGTTTGCTTAGTTCCTTTTTGTTTTTGTTTAAGTTTAGTTGTTGATAGTTGAGAGTTTGTTGTCATTTTACTGTTCCTAGTTTTGATCTTCTTTTTCTTAGGTAAATCCCTTTAACATTTCATATAATAAGGGCTTGGTGATGATGAAATTGTTTAACTTGACCTTGTCTGGGAAGCACTTTATCTGCCCTTCCATTCTAAATAGTAACTTTGCTGGATAGAGTCAGTCATCTTGGATGTAGGTCCTGTCTTTCATGACTTTGAGTACTTCTTTCCAGCCCCTTCTTGCCTGCAAGGTTTCTTTTGAGAAATCAGCTGACACTCTTATGGGAACTCCTTTGTAGGTAACTGTCTCCTTTTCTCTTGCTGCCTTTAAGATTCTCCTTTTATCTTTAATCTTGAGTAATGTAACTATGATGTGGCTTGGTGTGTACTTCCATGGGCCCAACTTCTTTGGGACTCTCTGGGCTTCCTGGACTTCCTGGACTTTCTGAAAGTCTGTTTCCTTGCACAGTTTAGGGAAATTTTCCTTCATTATTTTTTTCAAATAAATTCTTGATTTCTTGCTCTTCCTCTTCTCCTTCTGGCACCCCATGATTCAGATGTTGGAACATTTAAAGTTGTCCAAGAGGTTCCTAAGCCTCTCCTCATTTTTTTTTTGAATTCTTTCTTTTTCATTCTGTTCTGGTCGAATGATTATTTCTTCCTTCTGTTCCAGATCATTGATTTGAGTCACAGTTTCCTTTTCCTCACTGTCGGTTCCCTGTATATTTTTCTTTATTTCACTTTGCACAGCCTTCACTTTTTCCTCCATTTTGTGACTATACTCAACCATTTCTGTGAGCATCCTGATTACCAGTGTTTTGAACTCTGCATCTGAAAGGTTGGCCATCTCTTCATCAGTTCTGTTTTTGGACCTTTGATCTGTTCTTTCATTTGGGCCATATTACTTTGTCTCAGCGCATGTGTTATCTTGTAAGGGGCAGAGCCTTAGGTATTCATGGGGGTGGGGGACCCACATTGCTGTGTTGTGGCACTGTATGTGGGGGAGGGGTTCAAAAGGAACAATGCTGTTTGCTGGGCTCTCAGCTGCTTTCAGTCACTTCCCCCTCTACCAACAAGCAAATTAGAGCCCTTTTGGTGCTGATTCCTGGGTGTGGGTGGGTTTGTGTACGTTCCAGGACCCTCTGTATCTCTCCAACAAACTTCTCCTGTGAGCTGGGAATTTCTTTTGCCGCTTCAGCCCCCACAGGTTTTTATACCCAGAGGTTTTGAGGCTTTTTTTTCCTTCACTGGAACCCTGAGTTGCATGGTCTGTCTCCCTCCCCAGTTGTTCTTCCTGGTTTATCTGCTTGCAAATGTGGGCCCGCCAGCCACTGCCTTGCCAAGTGTCCTCTCCGCTCTCTGCCTGTGTCTACCCCTCCTGCCAATCTGGATGAACGTTTCTTTAAGTCCTTGGTTGTCGGACTTTTACACAGTTCAATTTTCTGGAAGTTCTGGTTGTTTTTTAGTTTTTAAATTTGTTATTATCCTTCTTTTGATTGTGTGAGGAAGTAGTGTATCTACCTATGCTTCCAACTTGGCCAGAAGTTCCCTACATGATTTTTTTCTTTATTGCATTGAGAGTTGATTTTGATCTCTACCTTTTCCATTGTAATAAAGTATTGTCTTCCTCAGGTGACATCAGAACTTGTCTGAGGGGCATGGTAGCTTTTATCTCAGTATTTTTTTCATGTTTTCTTTGTATACTTGTGCTTTGCTAATAAGTCAGGAAAAATGATAATGAAGCTAGGGGCCCAGCTATTGAGGAGAGTTGTTCTGATCAGCTCTTTTGTGTTTGGTTATCTTGCCTCCAAAACATTGAATATTTTTTCAGTGTCTTTTACTGATTCCCTTTTATATTTAAAGAAGTTTGACAGTGGGATGGCTCTTACAGTGAGGATATACTTTTTCTTCGTGTTGTGATCTATAGATGTCCACAACTCAGCCAGCACGTTCGAGAACTTTCTTTCCTTACGTTGTTTTAGGTTGTAGTTCCCCCACTCCCTGGGAAAGCATTTTTGCGTCAGCTTCCTTTTAGAGGAGATGATGGAATATTTGATGACAATTTTATTGAAGAAAGGAAGCAAGGGCTGGAGCAGTTTATAAACAAGTAAGTTCTTTCCGTTTTTCAGGGTGTAAGAGTGGACAGTGCTCTAAGATTATCTTATGTGACTGCTAGTAATTTTGATATTAAGCTAAACTGTAATACTGCCTTTTCCTTTTGGCCATTTCCTAACTTTTTGTATCATTTAAGCAAAGTAAAAGTATATAACAAGTTAAATATCATGTGATAAATATTAACACACTTGAGTGATTGAAATGAGTATCTTTGTTTTGACCTAAGTTTTGTATATATTTGGGGTTTTTTTTTAGTTAATTTATGCAAATTACATTTAAAATTATAGCACTTAAAAAGACAGTTTTACTTATGATTCTTTCTGATTTAAGATATGTTCTAGTATAAACAATAAAACTTACAGTATCCTTGAAATAATTTTGTTTGATTGCAGATGGAGGTATTATCAGCATGTCTTATAAATGTGTACATTTAAAATTTTCATGGCAAAATGTATTCTTTTGGAAATGTAAGAAGATGGGGTTATCTTTTACTTTAGAAACTCCTAAAGTCAAAGCAAAATTTGTAACTTTAAATTTTATTTCCATTTAAAATATAGGCATTTTTAAAAAGCTAGATAGTGATAGTTATACCAGGAAAGGGTTCACTACAATTAAGTATTCGCTTTGAAATCGACCAAATAAGGTCAAATCATAAAGACTACGGTTGTGTGAACTATTTATTAGAAGCACTTTAATTTTTATCTTTGAAGATCTGTGCGTGGTAGGTAAACAGAAAGAAAAGTTATATAAAGCCTTTTTTGTTGTTTTAGACAGCTTTCATTGTCTTTTTATAAATATACTTTCCCTTTAGAGAAGGCAGTGCTAGAGTAGATGTTTTTAAATTTTGAAATAGAAGTCTCTTTGCCCAGTCTGATCTTGTGTTTAGTCTAATGGAAACCTTTAAAATTTTTAAAAGCAAGCAACCCATCCCCCACCCCTGCCCAAAGAACCCTGTATACTTGTACCTATTACTGTTTGGGGCTTTCCTTGAACTCTAGTGATTAGAACTCCAGGATTTCTAACTCTAATCCTGTATCTTTTCCTTCTTTAAAATGGATTCTTAGACAAAAAACTGTACTTGAAAAATAACTAAATAAAATTTTTTAAAAAATGGATTCTTAGAATCAGGAAACATTTTACTTTTACTTTTAAAATTAATTTAAGTTTCTTATAAATGTACCATCTAATAGGTAAAGAAGCTGATTGGGTACATATGCTAGAAGCAGTGCAAAGCTCATGACTGAATGTTTTATAAATTATCCTTGTGAACCAAAGGCAAGAGAATTTACTTTAAGTTGGTAAAGCATAGATTTACGGGAAGTTTAGACTAACACTTATTACTAAATTGTTTGTGCTTCCTAAACTTAAAATATGTGTTTTTATAAAATATTGGACTAAATTTGTCTGTTTTATTCCTAGGGTCGCTGGTCATCCTCTGGCACAGAATGAACGTTGTCTTCACATGTTTTTACAGGATGAAATAATAGATAAAAGCTATACACCATCTAAAATAAGACATGCCTGAAACTTGGCGAGAAGGGGAAAAGAAACAAACTTTCTGTGACTATTAATGATTCGTATGCACCAGTGAAGAAGTTCTAACTTTTAGCATGCTGCACAGAAACTGGTATATCTTGCCTTTAGTAATACTAATACTCATATGCTCTGCTTTGTTTTGTTTTGTTTGGGCAGTTGACAAGAAGTTAATTTGCTTTAGTGAAAATCCCTCATTCCAGCCTTTCTGTATAATGATGCTTCCTTGCTGTTCTAACGTGGTGCACTCTTTAGCCTCACAAAGTTGTTATTCCAGCATAAGCTCCAGTATCCCCACTAAAGTTACTGATCTGACCTTATCTGCACAGTTTTTGTGTCATGTTTGCTTCTTGAATAACTAGGATATTTCTCTTATTGCCTTTTTCATATGTGATGTCACTTGACCTAATTTATGTGTAGGAGCACTGCACCATGGGCTGCCGGCACCCTGCACATGAGACACACACTTGTATGCTGAACATATCTCCCTGCAGGCTTGTAATGCCCTGCACATAGAAGATCAGTGAGGGGAATCTTTATATTCTGTATAAGGACAAAAGCAAATTTATATACTAAAATCATTTGTCTAAAAATTTAAGTTGTTTTCAAATAAAAATAAAAATGCATTTCTGATATGTACTGATTGTGTTGCATCCTGCTTTTCTTCTTTTATGGCTTTTCTGCTTAACTCACTTGTTGAGAGGGATTATTTACTAATTATATACTTCTCATTCCTGTAACTTCAATCCTCTTTAAACAGTGGTGATATCAAATATGCCACCACCCTTAGAATGGGGTATTTTCTTTTAAACAGCTGAAAAAGTGATGAACTAAAAAAAGCATTCCTTAAGGCTTGAGTCATTATAAAGCACTTTGTGTATTTGAAAAATGCTTTATAATCTCAAGTCATTCTTTTTACAAAAGACTTTTTAAGATAATCAGTGCCATGCCTCCTGTTATTTAGAAGAATATTTTCTAGCTCATCTGCATGACTTGCTTAAACAAACTTAGCAAGGGTGTAATAACTCCTTTTTTAGTCAACAGATTCATGCTTTCTCTCTAATTTGCCTTGGGATAGTGGCAGTCTTGACCCTCTTTAACCAAGGGAGAGGGCACAGTGTTCTCCCTGACTGGTGTGATAAAAAATGAGAAGATACATGCCTTCTCGCTGCTTAACCTGTGCTATGGCCAAAACTTCGCAGCCAGAATTCGGTCTCTTATTTGAATTGCACAACATGGTGCTTTGGGGACCCACTGTGACCTAGAGTTAATCCCCAGGTGTAAGGTAAGGAAGGTTTGTCTGCCCACACCAGAATGTCACCTGAAGACAGGTCAGTCATTTGAGAGGAAACCAGCTTAGATCTTGGCCAAACTAGGATGTCCACCAAGGAGATTGGAAACCATAGGAAGAAGTCAGAGCTGCTCTGTAATAAGGCCTTAGTATTTCACAGTGCCATAACACTGGGCCTTTCGGTTACTGTGCATTAACACTCAGCGCTAAGCAAGGTGAACTTTATCTCATTGAGCTTGCAGAAGGAAGTCCAGGTCTGTCAGTTTTTGGTATTCAGAACTAAGGAATGGTAGCTCTGCTAAAGGGCTCAATGCCTCTGGAAGCAGCAGTTCCCAGCCAGGGACGACTTTTCTCCCTGGGGATATTTGGCAATGTCCTGAGACATTTTTGCTTGTCACAACTGGAGAGTGATGCTGAAAACCAGTGGGGACAAGTTAGAAAAGCAAAATCTACAATGCACAGGACAGCTTCCCACAACAGAAAAATGTCAGTAGTGCTGAGGTTTCCATTCACCGTGGAATTCTTCTGATTTTGGTCACTTCTATATGAGGGAATAATGTGGTTTCGGATGAGTTGTACTGGCCTTGCTTACTTCTAACCCCTACAGTTTCCTAAGGGCAGGCATACTTTAAGAAAGCTGAAGGTTTTAAGTCGGTGAAAAGTTGTTCTATTCCCGATAAGACGTTTCTGCCAGGGAAGGTATTTTCCAGTGTTGTTTCTCAACACTGGAAAGAACTAAAACCATGGTCTGTGTTAAAACTACACTTCAACCCTGTAGAGTAAAACTGCAGGGGCTGTTAACTCTACACATAGGAAGATGTTCTAGAAGCCCTTAAGAGCCTTCCTAAAAGATTAGAAGTGAATTTGGCAGTGGCTTATGTAGCATGAGTTACAGGCTTGGTGCCTTCTCAGTAAGTAATTTCCTTGTCTCAACTCCTGCCAGTTGTAGAGGGTAAACCCCCGTGGGACCTGGAATAACTCAAGAGTTGTCGAGGACTAAATGTGAAATCCGTAGGAGAGCAGTGTCTGAGACACGTAAAGCCCTAATCATAGTTCTCTGATGGCAGTGGCAATCAGACGTACATTAATAGTAATAGCAAGCATTACCACTAAACTGGTGGGTGTTTTGGGGTGGGTTTAGTTGGTATTTGGTTTCTTCCTTGGAGGTTCTGCCATCATGACCCTCAGTAGTGATGAGGACCTCTGGTGGGGGGTGCTGGAGAGCATCTCCTCTATTACATCCTGGGCTTTTCAGCTTGACCCTCTTTTTATATATGGCCCACTCTGCATTAAAAGTCCTTGCCCTGTTGTCTCAGCACTTTTTTTGCCTGGTCTGGTTACAGGAGTGAGGATACTCCTAGCAAATGAAAGGAGGAGTCTTCTGGCCCCTAGACTTTGACAAATAACATCTGTTTGAAGTATGGGTGGACAGAGAGCTTAGCACACTACCTGGCATGTAGATGCTAGCTGGGATTTATTACAGTATGCAAGCGTTTGGACTGGGGAACGAGTTAGAAACTGTTTTTTGGAGGATAGAATAAAAGTCTCAATAGTTTCTTCGTGATTTTTGTCACAGAACTTTCCTATGAAATAAATAATATTCCCAAGGTTAGCCTGGATGTTGATGGCCCTGGAATAAGTCTGTCTGACTCTTGGGGACAGTGCCTGTGATTTGGTACTCAGGTCTTATTTTGATGTTCAGTAAATGTATTGAATGAATGGAAGGGTGAATTTTCAGTAACATTTCCTACATCCTTTAGGCTGAACACGATTAAATGACTGGGTTTTGTTTTGTTTTTAAGTTTGGTTTTGGACATGAAGAGCTTGCTGATCAGAAGTATTTTATTTTCCTAAATTTAGCTGTATACCACAATTACTCTCTAGGCTTAAGTCCAAGATTTTTTTTTTTTTTAAGCTTCCCAGATAATTTTGAAACAGCCAGGTTTGGGGCACTTAGCTAAGGACACGTTTGATTTCCAGGAATTTGGTCAGATTTTATCTTGACTACTTTAACCTGGCTACTTACATCATTACACAAAGACATGAGCAAATCAGAAAAGTCAGGACTTATCAGATCTTGAGGAATTACTTTGTGAGTAGTGATTTACAGAAGATGAACTTTGCCTTATTCCAACGTTGCTAAGAAAATAAGACCTTCATTTGGAGGCCAGGAAAGTTTACTCAGAAGTGCAAAAGAAAGTTCAGAGGATGCTTTCCACTGAGATGAGTACCATAAATGAAGTCACCCCCCAAAATCAGACAGCATTAAGCATTTCATATGTACAGAGTGTTAACATAGACAAGAGGTTAAACGTGAGCCTTTTTCTCAAGAAACTTAGTCTTGTTAGGACGCTGTCGTTGAAAGATTCACTACTAGTTCAGGTTGGGGGCATGGCAGATGTGAGGAGGACAACAAGGACCCGGGAGTTCAGATGGAGGGGGGGAAAAAAAATAAAGGGCACTTCCGGTTTCAGCTCTAACAACTAAAGAGCCTGAAACATATGAAGATCTTGTCCTCACAACAAGAAATAGCTGAACAGACTGCACATGACTTTTCTTGTACCCAACCATCAGAGAATTGAGGTTGCAGGGCAAACCACCACCCCAAAATCTGGAGAGACAGGCTCTTCTAGAGAGACAGTTACAACTGTTTTCCTGGAGCAGAAACTGCTGGGGGGATAAACTGGCAGGAACACTTACATGGTAATATTGATGAGTTGCTGGAGGTTGAGTGGAGCCCGCAGTCTTAGGGGCCCCCACAAACTCCTGGGCTTTACCTCCAGCATCCTCACCAGAGCCTCACAGTGAAGAACAAGAAAGCTCTTCCTTATGGCTCTGGCAGGGAGATGAATAATCACTATAAAATATGTGTAGAACTTGATTACAAAGGCCCACTGTGCAGAAAAAAAGATGTTAGAGCCTATTCCTGTTGGGAAGGGCATTCTCGCACCAGCCCATCTAGCCTTCCTCTCTCACCTAAAGGGGGAAAAATGTAACAGGGGTTAAGACTTTAAGGAAATATACTGAGAATGCTTCAGGCAGGCAAGGGATGAAGGGCCGGAGGAGGGAAGCTATACCACCAGGGACACACCTGGGAAGATCACGCGCCACAAAACACAGATTTGACCTGGAGATTAGAATCCCCATCCTCCACCCTTACCACCACTCCATCAGGGCTCCAGTGTGATGGTGGATTACAGGCAAAAGCTGCAAGACGGACTCTTGAGGAGGAATAATTAGGGGTAATGAAAGTTTAGAGACAAAAGCAAAGACAACAGAAGAATTTGAAGCTTCTGGTACCATAACTACAGCAAACATTAAGCACAGTCCACTCCCTAACCAGATAAACCCTCACACATAAGGCCTGCTGATTGGTTCATTACTGAGTGCAATGTGTCTTACTTTCAACAAAAAATTACAAGTCGTGCCAAAAGGCAAGAACAAAACAGCCTCGAGAGATGCAGCAATCATCAGAACCAGAGTCAGATCGGACACAGGTGTTGGAATTATCAAATGGAATTTCAATAACTGATGAATGTGTCAAACATCTTAATGGAAAAAGACAACATGCAAAAACAGAAAGGTGGTATAATAAGAAGTGGAAACTTTTAAGAAGGAAAATGCTAGAAATCACCATAACAGACATGAAGAATGATTTCCATGGGCTCATGAGCTTGTTAGTAGGCTCAAAATAGTGTAGGAAAGACTTGAACTGTGTAGGTAGGTCAATAGAAACTTCCCAAAATGAAGTGTGAAGAGAAAAAAATAGAAAACAACTGGGATCATTTTCAAAAAGTATAACATAGGTGTAAATTGGAATATGAGAAGGAAAAGAGAACAGAGTGAAATTACTAAAGTAATAATGGCTGAAAATGTTTCAAAAATACCAAATAACAGATCCAGGAAGCTGAGAGAACAGCTTCAAAAAACAGCACAGGTCTCTCATATTCTAGCTGCAGAAAATCGAAAACCAACAGAAAATCTTTAAAGAGCCAGAGTAAAAGTGTGCAATTAAGCAGTGCAGTTTTGACAGATTTTTTTTTTAAATTTTGTTTTGTTATTGATAGAAGCATTGATTTTTAAAAAGATTTTAATTATTTATTTTTAGAGAGGAAGGGAGAAAGAGAGGAAAAGAAACATCAATGTGTGGTCACCTCTCCCATGTCCCCTACTGGGAACCTGGCCCACAACCCAGGCATGTGCCCTGACTGGAAATCAAACCAGTGACCTTTGGTTCACAGACCCATGCTCAATCTACTCAGCCACACCATTCATGTCGAGAAATTTTGGGTTGTTTTTCCACTTATGTATGCATTCATTTGTTGATTTCCTGTACATACCCTGATCG